AAAAGGAAGCGTGTTAAGAAAGACGGACGGAGCCCTATTGAGAAACATTAAATTCAATTAGTACTCTCTCCCATAGCTACGTATGTATGCCATTAGAAGTCACAGGAAGGAGCCAGGTTTGCCAGGCTCCTTCAATATTGCAACTCTTGACGTCACTACAGCGAGTGTTGTCGCAGAAGGATGAGGCTTAACTTGAGCATGGAAAATATCACAATATATTGCATTGTTACCAACAGAGACTATTTGGAAGTGTATCGGAATAGAAACTAAGTCATCACTTCTTTTCTACACTATTTTTGCCGCAATTTTAAATGGCCAAATCTAGCACTCACATATTGGATTATCGACTAAATAGTCCATAGGTGGCCAAGTTTAGCACTTACACGTATTGGACAACCGACTGAATAGTTCATAAGAAGCAGCTTTTCTGCGGGTAGCATCAGTCTACAGGAGAAGTTTTCACTGGCAAGAAAACTTAAGCTGACTAAGTATAAGAATTCATTAACAAGACAAAGAAGCATGGAGTACCTCTGCTTCCTTCTGTTGGTGACAGCAGGCTTGGTTGCATCTGAAAATCCTGATGGTGAGATTGCTCGATAATTCCTTGTAATAATGCCAAAGTAGATCATGGTTCTCGAAGCTCAGGCCCATACTTTTGAATTGTTTTCGCTTTTTGAACTTTTCAGTTAGTCCCTGTTTTTCTGATTATTGATTTCTCTTGCTGGTCACAGTTCTTAAGCAATTAAATTGGTACCGCGAAAAAAAACCCATGGATTCACCGCGTTAAGAAATTCTAAGAGTTCGACCGTTACAGAATAAAACATTTTTTGAAATTTTCCATAATACGAAGTCCACCTGATTTTACAGTTAATAACTAGAAGTTTCAATTCGCCTCACAACGAATTCTTTTTGCGCATTATTATAAGCGAAGCAGTCATTTTCAAATCGCTTGTTTTCTATTGAAACGTACCTATCCCAAAAAGGTTGAATGCAGGCCTCTGTTCCTGTGACTAATTATTAGTAGAGTCAAAGAGAATGGAAGTAAACAAAGCTTCATAATTTTTTTTTCGCGCTACTGATCAAAGGAGTAACGTTTGATTGGTTTCATTGGAGGACTTACTGCATAATTCATTGGTTGATACCACGAGTGATACATGATCTATTGAATGAATTAGTAATCAATAAAAAACTAATTAATCAACTGTATTTAACTTTGAACAATAGAAAACTTGGAAGTGGATGATAAGGATTTGTTCGAGGGAGATATGATTGTCCCTCCCGATGTCTTCTATAAAGCCGAGCACGGAATGGATGTTGATAGCTCTCGCAAAAGAGGTGCGATCAGAAGCAGACTGTGGCCGTCAGGAGTGGTTCCTTATGTCATCTCTAGAAGCCTTGGTAAGGGTGAATAAAATATTTCATCGTTAAAACTCTCTAAACATTGTAATAGTGAATCGTAGTTTTCTGATACACTAAAGACAAATACCGAATCTGCTGTACTACAGTAGCTATGACGTCACATAATTAGCTGAAGAGCGACGTTTTTGTTATTCATTTCCCTTTTAAACTGTATGTTTACTTAGACAGATTTGATCAAGTTCCTGTGAAGTTCGAAGTGAGATGTATGTTACACATAACTAAAAAGGAAAACAAAGTTACAGTCAACAAGCTGGATTTTAGGGTGATGGACTGGTATCCTAGCGGCTTCGTAACAAAAAAAACGGGAACGGCTCCTCGGGGAAAGGAAACTTGGGTCGAGTGCAGACTTATCCTTTCTTTTTTTTAAATAAGAGTTCGGAACTTTTTGGCATTAGTTGAATAGTCGCCGCTGTAATCTGCTTCACCTGTATCACAATTCAAACAAGATCTTCCAAAAAAAACATACCTATTCACTCGAAATGATTTTTGCTGCGTCATATCTACGATTTGAACTCTGGAGGCAAACAGAGGGAAATAAAGCCCGCTTGGTACACGAGATCGAAACTAATTAGTCTGTGCTTTTTTTTTTCAATACAGCTGGAAGTACGTCTCCCATTTATGCAGGAATGAGAGAATGGTCAAGAAAGACATGCATCCGTTTTAAGAGGCGAACAAATGAAAGAGCCTTCAGACCGTTAGCGCAAAATGCTCTAAGACAAATCTTATAAGACCGTTTGTTTGAACGAAGTTGATAGAAATGGCAAGAGAAATTAGAGATTCGAGTTATTTCAACATGTTAACATTTTTTCCCGTGCTCAAAAATTTTTATCTAAATCGACAAAGAAAGAGCCAGAATATCTCGAAGCAATGTTACTGATGGATAAGCAACACGTAGCAATCATATTTTCTTGACTTAATAGGTTATCGTAACTATTTCCCTCCGTATGGAGCTGAGTTAGAGACCTTATACGCAAATCAGACCGGCGACTACAAACAGTAGGTCCCAAATCAAAAAATTAAGTATGAAAAAGGAAATGGACCTTTTTAAAACTTTGTACGTTTCTTTTCGTGCCTTTCATTTTTTTTCATGAAAGCGCTTCACACTATATAAATAATTAATGCATTCTCCTGATGTCAACTTACTTTTCAGTCGAGGGTGTTATTCAAATGTGGGCAGAACTGGAAGATCTCAAATTATTAACCTTGGTCCCGGATGCCGGACTCTAGGAATTGTTGCCCATGAAATCGGTAAATTATTTGGTTTGTTGTGTTTGTATATCATTTTTTATTTATTTTCCTCTCCTTATTAGTTTGGCCGGTTTTTTGTTTCTTTTTCTTCTGCTTTTTTCCTTTCTCGTTTGTTTTCTTTTCTTTCGTATTTGTTCATGTTTTAGAGGTTTTATTTTATATAAACGTTTAGGGAAGATATTTTTAGAGCGGTAGCAAGAGTTAAACAACTTTATCCTAACTTAAGACTAGTTCGACACTTCTTAAAATTTTCTCTGATTTTTCGCAGGCCATGCCATTGGATTCTTTCATGAACAGTCTCGTTCCGATAGAGATAAATTCGTCACAGTGCTGTTGCAAAATGTAATACCAGGTGAGGCAAATTGATTCGCATTTCATTTTTAAAAGCCTAAGCGGCAAAACTCGTCATTCTTGAATTTCTCCACCTAGTCTTGCTACTGTACAATCACTCTCAAGAAGGTGCAAGCGCTATCTTACACTAAAAACCTAAATTTGAGTTTCGTCATAGAGTAATTGCAGTTTGTAAACTGTCGCTAATAACTTGGGGTTTCGCTTACCAAAAGCAATATCCGTTTACTCTAAAGTCACTTTATATTTTACTCTTAATTTCTCAGTGCATAATTTATGTAGTATGGTTTAAGCAAACTATTTTTTAATCCAAAATAGTAAAGTTATTTTAAAGCAGCCGTGAAGTTTTTGTTTTTGCTTTGACTTCACGCTGGACCTCTCCTTGCTTTTGAAAGATTTGATCAGATTGTACAGTGTGTGAAATACAAATGCAGCATACACCGTCAAGTCGCATGCAGTATTTCCGGCCATTTTGTTCTCCAACCCACTAGAACCCAAACCTTTCTTAAGTTATCTTGAATAGGGTTCTCGTTATCAGGATTGTTAGCAATTTCTTCCTAGCGTCCACCTGCCATATTACCAGCTGCCGACCTTTCCGACCAAAAGTATTTGATGTAATTTATTGCAGGGACAGAGAATAATTTTAGGAAGTACCCAAGGTCAGTCATTGATTCTCTTGGAACCTTTTACGATTATAGAAGCTTAATGCATTACGGAAGCAGAGTATTCAGCAAGAACGGCAGACTTCCAACCATAATAACAAAAAACCCGAGGGTATGTTACTATAGCAGCCAAGACAAAGATCTTTGTTTATGTTTCTTTGATTTACAATGAGCCAAAAAGGCTCGTTTTACGAAGGTCCCGTTGCTTTATGAGCCAGAAGCCATAAAAATCAAAATCTATGGAGTGTAGATAAAGAGATCGCATCTCACCTCATACACCAATTCATTCTTTTTTTATTTCCCGATATCTTAAAGGCCCAATTTCAACCGAGATGCCTAGCGCGCTCAGATCATTTTTCATATATGAAAAATACACTATTTTCCTCGAAGTTGCGGAATCGCTTTGACTTCTTCTTCCATGTTACTAATTAGGGCTTTCAAAGTTCCATCTTGAATCATGTGCGAACAACAAACTATCGTAGTATCCATATCAGTAAATAGTTTTTAATTCTTACATGTATGACGGGGAAAAACGTCATTTGAAAAGTTGATGCCGCCGAAGAAGCGGTCTAGAGGAAGGCCGGGTCTGCCCGGCTCGGCAAAGGTTATTCGACTTCGAGAGACTGTGTATGATTTATGGAGGGCAAGGAAAACAACAATGGGTTTCGGTAACACTACAGACAGTGCTTTTGCAGAAATGTTATTGCATTGTTCCTACGATGGAACTAGAGACTCCGGGGAGATTTTTTCGAGGTGAGAATAATTATTTGACTGATTTTTACTTGAGATCCTGAGATATGTATGTAAGCGATCTCATTTGTACAAGTCATTATTCTATAATTGAAATGCGTAAAGTAAATCCGTTTTGGCCAATATTGGTTATTTGTTTATATTTTATTTAGTGTTGAAGCCGAACAATTTCCTTCAACATCAAGTAAGCTTTGTACAAGTTTTATACACAGACTCGATTTCTGATTTTTCAGTCTCAAATATTTAGCTGCAAATTTGTTTACTGTTCTTCACCAAATCTTTGTTTTTCTTTTTAATAGTGTTTGTGAATGACTATCAGAGTTCGCCATTTAACAATAGCGCGATTACAAAACAAAAACAAACGACTGCAAAGGATCTCGGATGAAAATGGGCCTTTAATTGTTTCAATTTCAAAAGTTTCTATATCTCCCTTTAGTATGACTTCATGGCAAACAAAAAAGTTTTTAGGGCCTATTAAGTATAGGGAGCCTCAAGAAACAGGATTTTGGACCCGACTACACAAAGTATTCACTAGCGTAACCAATATGCTCCACCTCCTATAATAATTTTTGATCAGCTGTCGTATTGCACCCCTATCCTTCCCTGAGCAACTTGTTTTCTTCTTAGCACCAACAAGTGTGAAGACTTTTGCAATACATTTGCAGATTTGATGGAGGAATGATGGGGGAAGGAAGGCATTGTGCGACATACATCACTGGCTGCGACGGAGACAGAATCAATCTCCCAGCCCCTGATGAACACGGAATGGGCTATTTAAATAGAGTTACTTACTCACTTACTTATGACGTTTACGTATAATGTTTTCAGTATCAAGGAGTTATTGGCCAGCGGAGGCGCTTAAGTCCAATTGATGCACAGCAAGCCAACCTTTTGTACCGAAATGAATGTAGAAAGAGAGGAGGGGGAGGAGGTATATATATATATATATATCAGTCTCGTTTTTTGTAATTAAATTTCAGTTTTGTTTAGGTTCGCTGTCTTTTTTTTGTGACATTTTCAACTTCTATTCAAAACATGTCCTTTTTTGAAAGTTTAAAAACCCGTAGATAATATTCGCGAGCTACGTTGTCCATCAGAAAGATAACCCGGAATGTCACTCTTTAATTTCCTATGGTTAAAAGCAATGATAGGTAACAGATGCTCGGTGTGTTAAAAAGTAGTTTTACAAGTGTTGTATTTTGTCCTTTCCGGTCGCCGTTGCTCTGTTTTCAATATGTTTTAGTCTGCATTTATAATTATGGTGTTATAAAATGATTATACCAAGATATTATTACGGTCTCAGATCTCGCATCTTATTTGGCGAAATGACAAACTAACAAAAAAGAAATGTCGGAAACGTTTATTTGATATTTTTAGAAGAGTTGTTAACGAGCCACAACAGCTATGAATAACATAAGTCTTTGTCTTCATTTCCTACATAGCGGTTTGTCGAGACCGATGGCGGCCAGTAAGCCAATGCAGGAATTCCAGAGTTAGGAGAAACTGCATGAAACGATGCAACCAATGCCGTTAGCAGAGAATGCGATCACCGCAATGATGCATTTAGTCTTTAACTCTTGTGTATCTCTTTAACTCTTGTGTAGCTTAATAAAAGTCTTTTACGTGGATACTTTTTTCATTGGTTGGTATAATTTTCTTTATTCCAAAGAGGCTCAGAACGGCTTCCTCATTCAGGTACAATTTATTGTTTGTTGGATCAATACGACCAAAATTTTTATAACGTCTCGCCCAGCAATGTTATCATACAACTTCAAAATATTTCTAGTGAGCTGGTGGTTAGTTTTTCTTTCTCACGAGAAGTAAGCATCCATACAATCGCCAAAATTTATTAAAAACACTTTCTTTCATTGTTAGGTTTGTGCATTTGAAGCTACAAAACTTATCTTTTCGTCAAAGAATTTACAAAACCGGGTCTGGCTCATTGTAACTTACTTAACTTGCCAATTTTTATTATAACATAATCAAAGTAAAGCTCGCGCTCTTATTGGTCAATTCACTGTCCTCCACTTGCCTATGGGTGTACGCTGTTGATGCGAGTAAACGCAAAGACTATCTTTCACGCGCTTGCTTTTTCTGATCACGTAAGATTTGTTAAACAAAAAGGAACTCTTTTGCTACAATTTATTGATGTGATGTTATGAAACAAATGGTAAAAATGGTACAAAATTGAGTTATGGATGCACCTTTGGAGGTTTGCAGACATCGCAAAGTTCATATTCAAATATATCAACAGACATCATAAAGTTCACAATCAGATATATTAATAGCCACACCACAAATACTCTGGGAGAGCGTACTTGGGTCAATTTATGTTGGGTATAAGCCGCTGGCCTCTCAGAACGTCTACCCAATTAGAGCCTATTCTGCGGCCAATTATAGACCCCATCTTGGTCACTTTTGGGCCAATATAATTCGTGCCATCCAAAAGGCGACCATTTTTCAATCCCGTATTACCCATAATTTTCCTACCCTGAGTTCTGAAAATGTGCGACCCCATTATCGTACCTCTATTGATATATTCAATCCAGTCGTGAATCCAGTCGTGAAAATGCGACGTCATCCAGTAGCACATCTTCGTCAACCTATTGCTAAGAACTACTCCCCCTCCACAGCCAAAATTCATATATCGTAATATTTCATCAAATCATTCCAAACTCATTTGTTCATTGCATTTTACCGAAATACCACACAACATGCATAACGAAATTTGCCAAAACCTACTTTAATTCAAAGAAATTTCGCCCGTTACTCTTAACTGACAAGAGTTTCTACAAAAAAAACAAGTAGATTTTCAAAACTCTACCACCAGTATAAACATGATATCTGTAACAGTTTTCGTACGTTGTTGTTGTTGTTTTTAACCTCATTCAAATTTCTTTCTACAAAAATCTTCACCACATTACCTTTCTACCAAATCGTTATTTATATACACCAAATTCTGATATTTATATACACCAAATTCTGTTACTCATATACCATTTTGAGTTCGTATTTGGTCGCAAATACTTTCCAACTATTCTCATGGATACCAAGATTTAGAAATATTTTTCTGAATAAAATCTTACATTAAATTTACATTCATTAGATACATTGTATTTTTAAACTTTTAACTCTGAATGTTCTGATGGTTCAGATAACTTCGTAATCAGCTCATATTCCGATTGATCTTACATGGAAATGCATCGTGCCAACTGTTGCAGACCTGAAAAAGGCTCCAAATATCCAAATAAACGTTCAGGATGTGATACATTTTAGCAAAACAATTGATACATTCGCACTTGTTGAATACGAGATCGATTATAGTCAACTCGCCGCTATGCACTTCGTTTGCTAGTTACCATCTCATATCTAACGCACGCTCAAGGAATAATCGGTAACTATAGACACATGCACAATTATAGTACAAACTCTGTAACTCAATTACTATTATCTTTCGACATAACTACAATGATAATTCCGTATGAAATGAAATGAAATGACTAACCGTCCAAATCGTCCCAACCATTTTCACATTGGACTGTTAGATTATCAATGCCATCATTCCTTCGCCTTTTGACTTCAAAACCGTCCTCAGCCTCTCTCGTCGCATTTTGAAAATGTTCTCAACGACAATAAGATCATACTCCTTTTAATGCCAAAGTTCTTACGTAATAAGTTCACACAATCGCGGCTTTAGAAAGAAAACAGGTCCAGAAGATCAAAAAAATTTGCTAAGGAGAAACTTTATTGTCTTCGACGTGACTAACTCTTAAATTTTTACTGTCAATTATGTTTTGAAAATTTTTTTATTTAACTAATTTGATTAAAAACCTCTCCCTGCGGTATTGTTTCCACTCTTGTAATTTTACTTCAATAACTTTTCATGCGCAAAAACAGTTTTTATCCAAGAAAACCCATCTCTAGCACAAAATCAGCAACCAATTCATTTAGGCTTCCCTAATATTTACAATCATATTTTCTAAGTGGCATTAAAAATGCCCCTTCTTTTTCTTTTCCTGTACACGTTGGACTCGGTTCGCTCGGGAGTGTGGGCAAAGGTCTGATAATGGAATAGAAAGACCCCTGCTCAGGTAGGTTTTTTCCGTGCTGATTCACAACCACATGAGCGTTGATGTCGAGGTTTTCCTCTTATTCACGCTGGTGATTACGTTCTGTCCTCCTCTTTTAGCCACTAATACCAAACACAATCACAAATCTATCCGATCATTTAAGCCCATAATGGAGACAGATGACTTGAAACTGATGCTGTTTTCCTTGGGTGGTGGCTGCAGAGTGGCCAGTGGATTCTTACATCTCAACTTTGGGTAAATCTGAAAAAAAGAGAAAAAAAGTAAATGGAACATAGAGGGACTAGTGTAAAAAGACTTTAAGTGGTATTATCCACATCGCCCATAGCAAATGAATTTTATATCTTTTCCAAT